TTCACTACACTGCTTGTATTTGTGTTTGTTGCAATAGTATGTATGAATGCAAGCTGCCAGGCAGATGACCCAAAAGCACACGAAAGCGCATGTGAAAGAGTAGGATGAACTAGGCTTTACAGAGAGTTGCCGAACCTTGTAATATCCGGGAGACACATGTTATGCAGTGAACATATTGGAATGGACTGATGGGATATTGTCATGAAGTGGGGTTACGGAGCGGGGAAGCAAGAGCAGGAGTCCATGGAAATCGGGTGAACACAGGGTTTATTTGGGACAGAAACCCGACTGAGCACAGAACGACGTCAATGACTGGACTAAAGAAAGGCAGACAGACACGGACTTATATCCATAACAACAATTTACACAGCTGGGAACACGGGGATTTCACACGAGGTAGAGAGGGGGGCGTGGCACATGGGAGGATCGAATGACCGGGGTGTGACAGATATGGATGGCAATGGAATAAAGACATTAGCGCAAGTGGCTGCCTGTGCGTGAGGTCATTTGTTGCTAGGTAACTACGAACGACAGCATTAGGTGCAAGTGAAACCTTTGATCAGTTTGTGATGGAACTGAACCATTTAGTAAAAGACTGTGATTACCGAAATAGCGATGAAAGTCAGGGACCGAATAATTTTTGCAACAAATTCCCCAAATTCCATGAGAAGTTATTAAGCCATAGCCCTGACTTAACTCTGGAATACACCCAAATTGAGAAAGAGCTCTATGTAATGGTCTTTGGATGCAAACGCTGTCACCAATACATTTATGGGCGACCTGGAACTATTAAAGCAGACCACAAGCCACTGGAGTCAATCCAACGAGATCCCTTGATGACATCACCGTCATGGACCGGCCCAGGAAGGACATGCCAGTCGCCAATGCCAGTTATCAAGAAGATCAGTTGAATGCTGTGACGTTTCCTTGAGTGATGGCATGGATTCACAAACCCACAGTGATCAGTAATGCACCCGTAAGCAAATGCAAAACGGCAGAGATAAGATCATCCACTGGCCAGGATAAACAGCCCCTACTTGCTTTGTCTCTCTTTTCTGAGCGTTTCAGGGATTCAGCTATCAAGCCTAAAAACACAATGTTCGACTATTACATGTGGGAGGAATTGCAGGAAGTGGATAGTTATCCAGTCGATTAACAAACCTAACATCAGAAATGTAACTGTGTCTGTATGAATTTTAACGATTGTGACATTAACTGAAACTGTAGCATTTCACAAACTATAGAGATCCATGTAATTCGCTCATTCATTCATCCGAGTTAGAATTGCGTCCTTACAGTGCCCCGCCGCCATCACCACCACCACCACCACCTGACATACTCTAAACTCTAAAGTGAACCTTAACCCACTGCTCATTGAACACTTGTTTTACCAAAGAACCACAGCTAGAGAAGAATTATATCTATTGTGACGTAACAGGCCACAAGGAAGCTTGGTTACAGTAACCATGGTTTCCTTATGGTCGACTTTAACGAGGGCCAGTTAGTCATGCCTGGTGGCTGTTAATTGCTCAAACAAGGGGGAAAGACTGTCTTGCCCAGGACAGCTAAAATGGGCAAGCCAGTGATTATTAGTGGGTGATTGCTTTGCCCTGCTGCCATTTAACTTTCCCCCATGCCTCCTTGTCTGTCACACTATTTCTTCTAGAAGGCAATAAATATTTCCAAAACCTTCAGCAAAACTACCATTTTAAACATGTTTCTGGGTAGCTGCTCTCAGGATGTAAGCAGAGAGAGGTGCTATATTCTGATTTCACTTTTGAAAACAGCTGAATTTCTGCTTTAGAGGTTAGCCAGCGGTTCTCAGACCAAGGGGCTATTCCAGAAAGCAGCTTCGGGATTTAACCTTAACTCTGATTTCAATTAGTCTGAAACACTGTGAGCATAATTATTTATTGCAGAACACCTGTTTACAGTTTTGGGGATTCAGTTCAATCAAGTCTGAATATGTTAATTCTAACTGAACAACAAAAAGCCATCATTAATGGATCACAGAAACACAGATGTGCTACAGCAGTGGATGCTAAATACAGTAAGTGTAGAGGTGTGTGCTTCTCTGAGTACAGAGTGCAGGTTTTGATTGCTGCTTACGGTGAATACGAGTTCATTCTGTGGAAGACAAGAAACACCAAAGCAAGAGACGGTGTGGAAAAAAAATCACTTACTAAGTAAATGCATGAGTGAATAATTCTACTGTACTTTTCATCTGATATAGACAATGATAATATGTAAAATTAACAAGTATTTCAGTTTTTTATATGTTGGGCTTCTACATGTATTCAACTTTGTCTTGGACAATGAGCCAAGCACTGTCATAGCATGCCAGAGTTACTGCTACTTATCCACAAAGCTATCTCGCTAAGCTAGGAATCCGGCTTCATGATACAGGACCCAGATGTACAAATTTGTTGGCTAAACATTTGCTGCACAGTTGTTGTACCAGTTGGCCAGAAAAATGGTTGTGCATGTGTGTGAGATGACTTCCCTGTGGTCTGCCTGTCTTCATGTTCTAGCTGAAGCTCTGCAAAACCAAATGGGTCTCTTGCCTGATTGTGACAATGTTATGCAGCATCACCCATGCCAAATGATGTCACATGCCCTCCCTAGGGAGACCCGAAGCTCACACAGACACAAGTGCCAGGCCTTGAGTGAGAAAATAGTCATCTCCACCCTGGTTCGGGTTCACTGTGGGCCAGGTAGAAGCATGACTTCCTGTTAGCAATGTACTTCCTTTGTGGAAGGGACAGTAATAGGAATGCATGTTATATCCAGGCACTCGATCACAAATCTGGCAATATTTAGACAATTATATTTAACCTTAGGTCTGAATTGTTTGGTGCCTGCGCCAAAGAATATCTCTCTTTTGAATGCTATGGATGCAGCCCAACATGCTGTTGGTTTTCCAACGTGCTCAGCATCTCCTACATTATATTAGAAGCTTCCAGTGCAATACAGGAAGGATCTGAATCATTTTATTCAGACAAAGCCAAGAGACATTCCAAAATCCGAATTCGTTACCGGTACCAAGTGCAAAATCAAAATCCGTAAGTCAGGAAACAAGGGTATGAGGGTTGATAAACACAAGGGACTTCAAAAAACACCACGAGGATGACGTCCAGTAAGGAGTGCAAGCATGCAGCTAAGAGGCAGACATCCTCAACAGTCATGGGTTCGAGGCTGGCTAGAGGCCAGCATCGCCTTATTCTTCGTCCTTGTATTAGTTGGGTTTTTTTCCGTGTTAGTTATGCTTTTGTTTTAGTCCTTATCTTTTGTATCTCTGTCCCGGGTCAATCGTGCTCATGTTTAGTTCAGTTGTTTCTGCTTTTCCTAGTATCTCCTGGTGTCTGAAGTCCTTGGTGTCTGTTAAATCACCTTCACCTGTTCCTAGCTCCTATTGTATAAGTGTCCACACCTATCCCCCGTTACACTTCACTGCCCTTACTCTGTTCCCCAGTCAGTCATTGTGTTTGTACTTGTGGTTGTTTCAGTTGTTTCCTGGTTGCGGTTCTTGCCTGTGTTCCCCGGTCTTGTTTTGGTGTTAGTTTTCCCTTGTGCTTTGTATAGTCCTTGTTAGTTCTTGTTTTTACCCTCCTGCCTTTGTTTTACCCCTCGTGGTCCCTTTTATCTATTTTGCTTTACCTGAAACAAAACAACTTTTGTTTGTGACCCACAACGTGGATGAGCTGTCCTTTACCATTCCTGTCTGCTACAGTAGCACACAGCCAGTGCAGGTTTAACTGCTGTGTATATTTGTCCTGTTAACATAATCATGGGCTAAAGGATGAATGGCAATGTGACTGGTACACAGAGTTTTTGTAATTTTGATGTAAATATTTAAAAATAGTTTCCATTCAACTTCTAACCACTCATCCTGGACAGGGTCGTGAAGGGGCATCCAGCATATTTTAGGCTTCAGTTAATTTGTGCAGTTTATCTCTTTTTTATATATATTGGACTTGTGCAGAGTCTGCTGTTATTGGCTGATTATAGTGTCCTAACTAGCTGATCACTAGTATTTACTTGTAGTACATGCAAACAGATGTAAATGGGGCCAGTTTTATTTTCCTGCTCTCCCTTGTTGATTAGGGTTAGTGATACTGTTGTGGTAAAGATGGGAATGCAGGCTTTGGTTTATATGTCGGTTGATGTATCATGACTTTGGTATCGGGTCAGAGTTTGTGATGTGTGATGTACTAGAGTGTGGTGTGTGGTGTATAACATTGTGATGTGTGGTGTATTACAGTGTGATGTATTGCAGTGTGGTGTAGTTAACTGAAAACATTTATTCAGCTTCAGCCCATTTTTCCTTTGTGGCAAAACAAAGTTGCTGTAACCAGTGGTGAATGGCCTGATCATTCTTGTTTAAATTTTTATGGGATACATACCGATACATCACTGATAAGGTGACTTTTTAGATTTTAACAACCAAAGAAGTGGATGAGAACATACAGCCCAGTGTTTATGTACGAATGTAAACATTACCATAAAGATTTTGTAATTGTAACGCTCCGCCAATTCCAAGAAAATGAGCATGGAAATAATTAAAGGCTCATTTACGGCGCTGCGCCGATCGAGCTCAATAACACTTGCCGTTTTCAATCTAACTCCATATTTGCGTGCAAAGTAACCGTTTGCGCCGTGGGATTTAGGAACCAGACAATTTCTGTCCCTCTTATCTCCTGTTAAGAGGAACAGATTCGCTCGGTATAACCGGATAGCAGCATCCTTTAATAACCCCGATCTACATGTTATGTGTTATCGAAACAACAAAGGCACAAAGGTAACACGCTCAATGAATCAACTTAGAAAGAACAATGGATATGCATGAAAAGAACAATACATAAGACGTCTATTTAACTACCAAGATTCGTTTTTCAACTTTTGTATGAATAGGAATAGCTTTACATCGGTTGAAGGTGTAATTCACATCGTTTCTCGGAATTACAGAGTTAGGCATTTTTGGGAAAAGCGTGTAAGCGATCCAGCAGCACCCCGAGAGTAAACCCTGTGCAGTTTGGGGCGGGGGGTGAGGAGTGGCCGGTAACATTTACAGAATAAAATTACACTTCCAAACTCCATACAAGGGAATGGGAACCCAGAGTCAGCCGAATGTATGTCCATGGCATGTAAGTACTGCCACTTTAGAAACATTTTGTAGTTTAATTCTCTGCTGCTAGAATATCAAAAATAATTATGCCAATATACTTTTCCAGATATAAATGGAACGTAAATGAAATCATTCGCATTTTCTGTAAACCGTCTGCAGCGCATAGGTTAATCGGGGTCTTGGAAATATAATTTTCTTGCGCTTGTCCGATGCATATGAAACTGACAATTTATTCCTCATGCATAACAACTGTAATCTAAAGAATATATTTTCATATTCTGTTATACCAATATGAAAAAAATTACGCACAGCGCTGGTGTGAAATGGTGAAGGGCTGGATCTCATAATGTCACAACTTTTTTGCCAGACTCAACATCGATGGCAATGCCGGATATATATATATATATATATATATATATATATATATATATATATATATATATATATAAAATATATATAAGGAATGCAATGCATAAATGATTTTCATATTATGTGTTACACAAATTATGTTAAACCAGTGATTAACCCCCAGTCATACTCGATTCATATAATAATAATAGTAATAATAATAACAGTAAATATTATTATTATTATTATTATTATTAATCATAATAATCATTAAATTAAAAAAATCTTTATTTTCTTAATTTATTGTAAAGCGTTACTCATTTTTCCCTAATCTTT